CATCCAGCTCCTGAGGAGCCAACGGGCTTGGGCTCAACCGCTTCAGCTGTACCCACTGGCAGTCCTGTGCCGGCTTTTCCGGGCGACAGCTTTTGCGTCTTTGCGTTAGATCGCCTGCCAGAGAACTACTGGAAGAAGTACCAGTTTGTCACCAAGTAAGTCTTCCTCTAACCCCGTTTGTACATTGATGCAGTGCTGAGCTATGTAATCTCTGTATCACCAAACGCCCTAATACGACCATCCGACCTCTCGCTTTTCATTAAGTCTGACGAGGGTTTAGTGGTATCGGCCTGGTGTTGCATGAGTACGCCTTGATTCGTCTGAAGCGCCTCCTCTTTCTTCATAATATCACTTCGGACTGCACGGTGTCTCAGTTATTTCATGTGAATACTGTTAGGCGCACTTCAACACCCAATGACCACTACAACATTTGTTCGTGTTTGAAAAGATAGGGCAATGTAACCATGGTTTTTGACACCGTTTTGTATTCACTCCACTAAGGACTCGTATCCTTCACAGGTGTAGTGACAAAAATGTCGGCAAAACGAGTATGCAGACTTTTAGCTAGTACCTACGTCCTTTTTCTGCGGGCCAGGCGTCTGTGTCACGCGTGTTTTAACTGCTTCGCCCTGCGGTCACCGCGTCTGATCCGTTCTCCGGTCTTGTTGACTCTGTTTTGACACTGGGCTCAGATGTGTGGGGTTGGAGAGAGCGAGATGCTGCCAAAGTCTAGTATAATTATTAACTAATTCACGCGTCAGTCACCGTCCATGCACCTAATGCTGTGGGAAACATAGTCGAACTCGTCGCTCGCGATGGTTCAACTGTCATGTCGAGATCGTGATGTAACCAAATGTTACAGATTTATATGTGTTGTCTTTTCTTCTTTCCTAATCTCCTATCTTCTCACATTCCTAAGGTTCGTGAACATGGCAAGAGCACACACGCCGAAGATAACCCTCTACACCTCCACGGCCAAATGCATCCTGATGGAGAAGGTGGAACCACAGGCAGACTTTGAGGTGGAGTTCTTCGCAGACGGCAGTCGTGTGCATATTCTTGGCGGGGAGTCTTCGGGGAAGTTGCAGCTCACCCAACTACTCACATCTGAAGACGGTGGCAGCGGAAAAACGAGTACCATAACCCTGGATGCTGACTGTCCCCTTGATAAGCTGTCGCTCAATGTACAGGAAATGCTCAAGTATGCTCGTCAGGTGAGTTCCCTCCTCCATCTTTCTCACCTAAGGACAGGAGGTTTAGAGGAATTGAATCCCAGCGCGTAATGTTCAGTTTGCTTGGGGAGGTGTAAATGTAATCCATTAAAGGTCTGACAGGATCTAAGATGGCCTCTGTATTGCGCTATCATGTCGGTCACATGAAATATATTGTGTAAGTGCAGTAGATTGCTTAGCTAGCAAAAACAATATTCGCTTAACGTCATGACTTTATAGTTTTACGGGCAACTGTATAAAATTTGCCTCATAAGCACACGAATTTATTTCCAACAAGGTCATCGGACGCTTTTAAGTAAGTTATAATATGCAGGACACATGATCTATTTTGTAAACATTCGGTCCGACTAACGAAATGGCGCACAGTATTCACTATGCCAATTTGAAATCTGTGTTTTATGGATTTCAGCCTGAAAGACTCGACTTATTTTTAGTGAGATATTCATTCTGGCACATCGATTTTCTCTTCGACTTGTTCCTAGCCTTCAAAACTCGTTGATACTGGGTAGCTTCAGATACTCCCCTGTAGTCCAATCTTTTTAGCTAGAAGATACAGTTTACAGTTTTAAAAAACGTCTTGAGGCGTCACTGAACGGTTGATTTTCCTAGATGCGGGACTCACTTGACCACTATGACAGTCGAGACGCCAGAATTGGCCGCCATTTTTTTCCATTCCGAGCCCCAATCACCTCTTCTTGTAAAAACGTTGAGATCAGTTCCACTTTTACACTTGGCTGACCCGGGCTCGAAATTCAGATTTTTCTAATTTGGAACACGACTGACTGATGATTTCAAATCTGCCAGAAGAGGGCACTTGCTATCATTTTTTGCCAGAAAACCATCTCACGATCGGTGCTCTCTCATTGCTATGTGGTAGTCTCCAGGCTGCGACCTAATGACGAACGGAACAGCTGTACTACGTAGGTTATTTTC